ATATCAAATTTAAAACAAGAAGTTAGTTTACTTTAAGAACTTTTGACCGAAGGAAGTTAAAAAACATACATGCTATGGTAATGCTTCCGCAGCTGTTTACACATAAATAACGGAAGTGTTTCTCGTAACTAACTGGATAGAGTCAATAGTCTACTGTTTGTCATAATTATAGAGGAAATGAGGTATTTTCCTGCTCAAAGACTTCAAGGAGCCAACATTAAATGTCTTAAACAAGGTTATTATCATAAAAAGGGCAAGTTCATTGATTGTGTTATACTATTACTTACAGATATACATTGTAATTAATTTACGCCCAATTGTTCTTATAAACATAATATCATAAGGTTAAACACAAATTAACATGAATCATTCTTTATATTTATCCATGGGTAACCTAAGTTTTGTATTCCATTTGTGTTGTTTTAAGTGTAAATTTATGCATGGTTTACACAAGGGCTGTAGTTTAAATTCGCATAATGCATTGCATAAAACGGGGGCATTTATTCCGGTACTTGTTAAGAATGAATATTCTTTGAGACAAAGCATTATTCTTTTTATTATACACAATATTTTTTATACAATTGACTAAGTGTATTACTAGTCTGCTTGAATAAAAAGTTGAGAAAAATGATGATGTAAATTGTTTTATAGTTTACACAAACAAACATACGTGGAAGACGCAGCTTTTTATTGTCGTGACATACATGTAATAAATAAAAAATCAGCCGTTGAACCACATGATCTTTGGTTCGTGTCCTACTGACAAAAAATCCGACATGTTTTCTCATATGATACTAAATTACATGTTTGTTGGAAATCCCGTAATCCAACCGCTCTGTGATGCCCGTAATATTCTATCTGCTCTGTCACGCCCGTAATAATTTTCCCGCAGTGTAACGCCAGTAATGACGCCAGTTAAAGTAAACCCGCAGTGTGATAATCTTCCCGCTTTATATATGGTGCCCGTAATAATCTACTCGCTATTGACGCACGTAATAATTTACCCGCTGTTTGACGCCCGTTATAATCTTTCCGCTTTATGGCGCTCGTAATAATCTACCCGCTGTTTGACGCCCTTAATTATCTACCCGCTGTTTGACACCCGTAATAATATACCTGCTCTGTGACGCCCGTAAGAATCTACCCTCTATTTGAAGCACGTTTTAGTCTACCCGCTGTGTGACGCCTGTTATAATATTCCTGCTTGATGGCGCCCGTAATAATCTACCTACAGTTCAACCTGTTTTGTCATACTGACAAACCCTTTCATACATAATTTTGTCGTTGTTTAAAAAATAATAATCCCCAAAAAGTGATTTTTTTCGCTAATAAAAACACTGTTTGGAGTTGGATCGAGGAAATTTTCAGAGGGGTACTCGAGTGAAAAAATGATACGCATCCCGGCGACAAACAGTGGGGTTTAAAAAAATTTTAAATCTTCGGGCATTTCACGAATGGGATTTATTTACAATTTCCCTAATGCGTAGGTATCAAGATCAACAGAAATGAAATCCAGAAATCCAGAAAAATTATTCAGAGCATGGAATTATAGATGTGACAGTTAATTGCATTCTGCCTAAGATAATATTGTGTTCCCAATGAAAAACCAAACAAAAATCATACAAAAAAAACAAACAAAAAAAAAAAAAAAACAAAAAAAAAAAAAAACCTAAAAAAAAAACCGCAAAACATAATATAAAAAGATTTCTATATTACAATAGTTGCATTTTGGAGGAGACATGTTGAAATAATTGGAGTACTGCCAGTAGAAGGAAATGAATTTTCCACCTTTATAAAAGTCAATAATCTCCTCAAACAGTTGTCGGATCATTTTCTTTCCAAGTTGAGCAGAAAATTGAATTTTCAGAACTTGTTGGCTTTTATAAGTGGGAAAATCATTAGCAGGAAAGTCATTAACGAGAAAAAAATAATAAGATGTTTTTTTCTTACCTATAATTGTTTTTCCAAAATCTTATTACCTGTGCATGTTCAGTTTTTACGTTATATCATAAGGTCTATTAGTTCCCTACTTTATGTTTGCATGACAAAAAGAGCATACTATTTAAGTACAACAAAAGGTTTTGTACTTTACCACATAGGGACCCGGCACAGTGTTGGGATAGTGTAAAAAAGTAATTCTAGAAAGAAAAAATATAATATATATATGTAATAGTCCTATTAAAAATTATATACATTATATATAAACTATATAAAAATTATTTTTTTTTTTCAAGATTACTTTTTTTACACTATCCCAACACTGTGCCGGGTCCCCTTTGCTATACCAGTACTCATTATTATATCTTATTTGTTGAAAAAGTTTATTTATTGTATTTTTTCTGAGGTAAGCAATAAATATTATCAAAAACAAACAAACATGCAAAAAGAATGGGATGTCAAGAACAATATAACATGTAAGATTATATTAGTGGGTATTATATAATAAAATTTAACATGTTATCGTTACATATGCAATAAGGTGTTCCATTAATGTTTTGTAAAATATGAAAAAAACAAGATCAACAAGGAAGGAAGGCACTCAATGAACGCAACACCAACACAGAACCACCGGTCCAGCAGGGCACCAAACATGACAGGCCACACAACATTGTTTTAAATTTTAGTTTGTTGTCAATCATCATTCGTTTATTAAAATCCATTTTTGAGACATTGTACGGGGCGTGTATTTACATCGCTATTTATATATAGCACGTACTTTATAACAAAAGCAATATTTTCCGCTGACATCATTTCGTGCGAATAATTATACATAGTTAACGTGCCTTTTATTATCTAACTGGTTGAATAAAACATCAGTAATAAATTTCTTTACAATAACGGATTAGTGTAAACATGAAAATACATTGTTAGCCATGTTGCTAAAAAAACCCCAATTTTTGAGGGAAATTTTACCAAAAAAATTGTATAAAATTTAAAGTGGAATTTATGAAGACGTTTAAAATTGAAATTTTGACAAAAGAATGTTAATGCGGGATTTTACCCAAAAGTTATAGAAATTTGCGTTGGTATTCTAAAAATAATATACATGGGTATATAAGATTTTTAGTAAATTGTCTCATTAGTTATTTAGCTCACACCATGGCCAATATACATGTACATGTATGTACTTCAACCTGGTAAGATTAAAACAGATAAAAACTCAGGCTTATTATACATATACATATGTTTATTATGTCAATTACGCTATAAAGACAATATTTAAACCCGTCTTTTCTATTTTACTAGAAGACTCAAACAATCTTTTTTCCAGTAGACTGTCACTCCAAATATTGGAAACTAAATGGATTAATGCGAACCCTATTTTTTCGACAATAGAGAGAACGTGTATTTATTCGTTTTTGTATATTCTTTAAAAAAAATCCAGATAAAATATTTGCTATACAATTGTTTGATATTTTTATATCTCTAGGGCAGTTATCGTTTTTACCTAATACAGATGTTTTAAGGGTCATTTTGTTTACATTCGACCAACATGTTATCTTATGTCTACTATTCTGTCATGAAAATACATCTCGAACCAAAATAGCAGGCATCAGATATGATATAATATATGATAAACAAGATCAACAAGGAAAGGCGGCATTCAAGGAATATAATGTTGAGTTTTATAACTAGGCATTTTAACACAGTAAAAAGTATGAGCGGGAGTGTGAATGTATGTGTCGCCTTCATCTCTTCGTGTGCCTGCGTGCGTGCGTGCGTGTGTGCGTGCGTGCGCGCGCGCGCGCGCGTGTGTGTGTATTTTATCTTTTAACTGTTTTTCTTTGTTTCACTACATTAGTTTCACTTTTGGGATACCCCGTTTTGTGCTTGTTTGAAGAGAGATGATCTGTAAAACCACTGTAGGATGTGCTTCGACACACACATGGTTTTGTAACAGATCAAATAAATGGGTCACCCAATGTGGGGCCTGAAGAAAAACATATCTATGACAATTTCTAGGATTGTTTCAATAAAGATTTTGTGTAATAAAAACAACGAAATTTTATCTATCAATTAACTTTTTCAAGCGTTATTTGTATGATACAGCATTTGTTACACTTTATTTAGTAACAATAGATAATGCTGATTTGTAGCACACGTAGATTGCAATGTTACATGGAGACAAATGCTTATCATCAAATTGCTTATCCTGGTAAATACGTTACCACTTGAAACAACTGTGATATATATAATTGCAGTAAACGATTACATACATCAGTCATTAACTATCTATTTATTCTTATTACTTTCGTCGAATAGCTATCCTAATGTAATTTTGAATACCTGTTATACATCTCAGCTAATATTCTTGATTGTGTTATAAATGATTTTGCAAAAATTTTCAACACCACTAAATATTCGCGAATATAATAATGACAACACACACGCGCGCACGCACACACGCACGCACACGCACGCACGCACACACAAACACAAAAATTCGGAACTTAAGTCTGGTTACGAAAGTTGAAATTTGCATGCCTGTTGACTGAATATATTTTGCTTATGTTATCGTTTGAATCATGGCGGAGATCAAGCTAAATCAACAACAATGCACCACCTTTGAACCAGAAGAATGGTTGTGATATTTTGACTTTCCTATACCAAATAACAATCTTTGTTCATCATATTCATACGCAAACTGGTTTACAAAGCAGTCAGTTACGGATATCATTGTCGACAATTATTTTCGAGCACGCTGAAGAACAAGCATATTCAAGATATGAATTTCTTAAAAGTGACAATATATTGAAAACAAACTACAAACGGCGTTATTAGAGAATTACACCATGAAAGGTGATTGAAACGCAAGTGTTATGTTACAAATTTATGTTACAGTGTAGACCATGAGCAGATGACACGGATGTACAGGCTGACGTTGGTCTGCACTGGTTGCTTTGGTAGAATTACTGTCTTTAAGTTACCTTAAAGTTTGTTCTAAAATTAAGGAAACAAACGTCTTTATTTTTCTGAGAAAAAAAGTGTTTTTGGTGATTTATTTTTCAGGTTATCTGGACGCATTGAAGTGTGACGTACAAATTATCCTGGATGTTCTAGGAAAAGATCCGAGTGAACACGCATGTGAGGCTGAATGTTATAAGATAGTACAGGATGGTAGCGCGCTTACCTATGGTTGTCCACTGGTGTGTCATTCGTAAGTATATTCTACGACATAGACAATATTATAAGATAGTATAGGATGGTAGCGCGCTTACCTATGGTTGTCCACTGGTGTGTCATTCGTAAGTATATTCAACGGCACAGACAATATTATAAGATAGTACAAGATGGTAGCGCGCTTACCTATGGTGTCCACTAGTGTGTCATTCGTAAGTATATTCTACCGCACAGACAATATTATAAGATACTGTAAAATCATTATTATTCGTGGGGCACGAATTTTCGTGGTTTTCGTGGGTAGGTCAATCCACGAATTTAAGATCCGACGAACTTTTATCCCGACAAATACTTCTTACCCTGTCTCTGTTCTATATATTACAAACATGCCTCGGCTCTTTTCCGGCCGATATTTCGTGAAATGGATGTAAGTACAGACAGTTAACCAGGTTAGTGACATATTAAATCCGTTTGCAATAAGAAAACTCGATTATAAATATGTCCTCAATTTACTGTCACAAATGTCGCATATACATACTTGAACGGTGTAGTCTACTAGTAATAAGAATACTTGACATAATCGAGTAAATATGGGAACCAAGGCAATAAAAATTGTCAGTTTGCTCTTATTAATTAAAAAAAAAAAGTCTTTGAAATTGACATATATGGCACAAAAACACAATTATTTGTCACCCCCACGCATATCTACTGTTTGATATTAATGTCGTAAGTACACAAAACTATAAAAAATACGATCGCTAAAACAGTTTTATTGCACTTTCCTTGTTGTTTTTAAATGCTCCAGTTTATATGAATTTTAATCAGTATTTGTGCGAATGCTATTCCGTAAACATCAAAGACGCCACCGACTTTTACAAGATCCACATATACTCGTGTTACTTACCGAGAATAATTTATATGCATGTAAATTTACACAGTCGCTGTGACGTTGCGTGTAGTTACTGTCAAATATGTTAAGTGTAAACTTTTAAACTCGCTGATTAAAACGTGCCAGGTGTCGTAAAAATTATACGATGTTTACATCGGCGAATTACAGGGGCAGTGTGTCCAATGGAGGTGCATATCATGTCACATAAATGTGTTAATTGCAGTCAATTATCGGCAGTAATTGTGCTGTATTAGAGTTATGCCCAGAGCCAAGGATTGCGTTCATTGAACGCCGCCTTTCCTTGTTGATCTTGTTTTTCATATTTTAAATTTATTGACAACCGCTGTGTGACAAGTAAAGATATGTACATGTTGCAAGTAAAAATGTTCGGCGATTAAGATTACTTTGCATTAGGTTAATGATTTTTTTTAACGAGAAAACGAAAATCCACGAATTTAAGAACCCACGAAAATGCCCGTTTTGATAAAACCACGAACTTTTATGCCCACGAATATAAGTGAATTCGCAGTAGTACAAGATGGTAGCGCGCTTACCTATGGTTGTCCACTAGTGTGTCATTCGTAAGTATATTCTACGGCACAGACAATGTTATAAGATAGTGCAGGATGGTAACGCGCTCACCTTTGGTTGTCCACTGGTGGGTCATTCGTAAGTATATTCTACGGCACAATGTTATAAGATAGTACAGGATGGTAGCGCGCTTACCTATGGTTGTCCACTGGTGTGTCATTCGTAAGTATATTCTACGGCACAGACAATGTTATAAGATAGTATAGGATGGTAGCGCGCTTACCTATGGTTGTCCACTGGTGTGTCATTCGTAAGTATATTCTACGGCACAGACAATGTTATATGATAGTATAGGAAGGTAGCGCGCTAACCTATGGTTGTCCACTGGTGTGTCATTCGTAAGTATACTCTACGACACAGACAATGTTATAAGATAGTATAGGATGGTAGCGCGCTAACCTATGGTTGTCCACTGGTGTGTCATTCGTAAGTATATTCTACGGCACAGACAATGTTATATGATAGTATAGGAAGGTAGCGCGCTTAACTATGGTTGTCCACTGGTGTGTCATTCGTAAGTATATTCTACGGCACAGACAATGTTATAAGATAGTATAGGATGGTAGCGCGCTTATCTATGGTTGTCCACTGGTGTGTCATTCGTAAGTCTATTCTACCGCACAGACAATGTTATATGATAGTATAATGAAGGTAGCGCGCTTACCTATGGTTGTCCACTGGTGTGTCATTCGTAAGTATACTCTACGGCACAGACAATGTTATAAGATAGTATAGGATGGTAGCGCGCTTACCTATGGTTGTCCACTGGTGTGTCAATCGTAAGTCTATTCTACCGCACAAACAATGTTATATGATAGTATAGGAAGGTAGCGCGCTTACCTATGGTTGTCCACTGGTGTGTCATTCGTAACGTATACTCTACGGCACAGACAATGTTATAAGATAGTATAGGATGGTAGCGCGCTTACCTATGGTTGTCCACTGGTGTGTCATTCGTAAGTATATTCTACGACACAGACAATGCTTTATTTATAGTTTTTATTTTTACTATTATCATCGGATATAATCAGGTATGGATAACAAGCATATTACTTCATTTGTATTATTAAAATGAAAATGTACAGCGTATAATAGCGTTTGTCATATTTCATAATTCAGTATTCTTAATAACGAGCATAGATACATTGCTAGCCATCTATGAACTTTTATATAAGATTAACTTATGAACACGCTGTGGATTTTAACAATATTTACGTTCTCGTTATAAACTGTTAATTTCTAAAAGTACCCTCTCGAACGTTGATAAATAAATAGATAAAATCAGATGTTGATTTCAAATATTTTTAAAATACCTAGACATTATTCAAATAGTTTTTTCCTCCAATTATAGCCGAATACTGAAATTGATATAATGAGTTCTTTATTTCTAGCATTCAAAACCTTGCACATTACTTCCACGAGACTCCTAAGCCTGGGGATGCCAGCATGCCGTGTGGTGGACTTAATATTCTTGATCTTTTTTGGACGGAAATAAAAACGACGTTCTGGTGCAAAATTACTTTTCAAATACACATGTACAAACAAATAATAACAACAAAATTTTACTTTTATTATCATTATTTTTACTAGTTTATCTATTCAGATCACGGGCGGATTTAACTTAGTTAGGAAATGTCAATATTTTAGGCATTGACTTTTGTCCATATTTAAATATCTAGATTTACCTAGTATATCTTTAAATGAAGGTGTTAAAGAAGTACTTTACTTTTGTCCGCAATACATGCATAATCATTCACATTTTACATCAAAGAGTATCAGATATATGACCTTTTGTCTTGGACATGCTCAAAAGATTTCCATGGTATGACCATTCTTTTGTTACCGAGTTTAAAATTTATCTATTTATTTTTCCGTTTCCTTCTTCCACATTTTATGAATTATATCTGTAACATCTTTGTCATTAATCTTTATAACCTTTTACTTTATCCATCGGCAACGTGTGTAACATTTGACAGCGCACGTGCGAGTGATTCTTCAAGTGCACATTCTTTCTGCACGAGACGCACGGCATCGTGGTGACGAACACTTTTCCTCCACCAATTGGTTCGTTCTCGTAATCAAACTACAATAGAAACATACATGTAAAACAGGTTTCTTTTTTTAAAAGAATATTTTCATAGAGATTGTTTTTGAATTATATTTAATATGATATTACAGATATAATATGATTGTTTCCAGACATCTAATCCCTTATTATTACAAAACATTTCTATAAAATATTCTAAAACTTGCACATTTTTATGCATTTTTCTACTATATTCTAAACAATCACTTTTTGAAAACAATTTTCCATATTCACTTATCAAATACGGTTTTAAAATAGTTAAAAAATAATGCTTTAAAATCAATATATTATGTAAAACGTTGAGCATAGTTTAAAAATAGGCAATACATAGTGTAAAATTCTAATGCATACTATACATGCATATATCATTTCGAAGGCGAAGTTCATAAAAAGATATCTGATTTTAAGAAAAAGCATTTTTCATACGTACTTCTAAGTCCCTGTGATTTTTTATTCGAGGGAGGTTTGTGATTTCTGCCTCTGAGCCACCATGTTTAATGTGAAAGTCTTTAATGCGCATGTCTAGCGTTCCTGGCGTCACACTGCGGCGATCAAACTAAAAAAGAGTCGCTTGAATAGTATTTCAAACTAGACAATAAAGGAAAAACTTTGAATAAGATTGAATGAATTTTGTATATAATTTATGCACAGAGGAAAGCGGAGACAAACTCTACAAGAAAAAATCGCACGCTTCGCACAGGTGACAATGAAGAGGGCAGCGACTCCAACAACAGTTTAAAAGCAGTAATTAATCTTCTAATTTAAACATAATTAATCAGAATTCAGAATTAATAATAAATGGTCATAAATGTGTCTTTATAAATCAAAGTTTAATAAATTTTTGGTCTTTGCAATGTATCTCAAATCAGCATAAAATAGGAAACACTATCTGGATGGTTCATTAAAAGCATGTTTAGATATTTTGTTAAAAGTGTGACAAGCAAAAAGTTTCAAATGTTTGATAATGAATATTTTAACATACATAATTATAAGACAGCATGTTGATCTACTCAATTGTTGACATATGTATTCATTACATTTAGGAGAGACCTGGACAAAGTTAACACAGTTTTGATATTTTTCAACATATCTGGCTTGGTTTTTGTATTATATATTCTTCAATTCAATCCAAAATATATAATAAGATGCATCAACAACTATTTCGGAGTATAGTTCAGAAAATGTTGACGGAGTATTTTGCCCAACGTGCCAATGATTTACATCTTTTGGTTATAAAGAGCCATGCCATACCTGCAAAGATTTGTAGGTGTCCGTTGTAGCCTTGCTTTTATACGTGGTGGGCCTGGTTCGAGCGCTGAAACGGTCTTCAAATGTTCGCCAATAATCTTCATTATACACCGGAAACTGATTATCTTCCTCGTCACCAGCTTCATCATCGGACAGTGTGTCATCTAACAAAACCTTATATAATATATAATTCTTAAAATATTAGATATGCCAAATTCATTCGGATACTATTTGCAGAGTTTCTTGTTACAAATACATTTAATTGCATTAAAACATCATGTAGAGTATACACGTACGTACATTGTATACATGTATGTACAAAATACAAAAGGGTTGGTTCCAAACAATATTTAAACATGAGCGTAGGATATCCCCAATGGACTATCCGCTGACCACTGAAACTTGATATTCTGTCAATAAATGAAAAACATAGTGTAACAAATAAGAATTACACCTTATATAATAAATAACGGATTTAACTCAATACAGGATTGGAGCAGTACCTCTAGACGCTTGCAGAAATCATGATCACAAAATAGACAAATATCGTTTTTTTCGCCGAATTTTACATTTTTTCTTGATTATCGTACTTGATTCGGTGTGAAAAGATGAATTAGACCTGTTAAAGTTCATTCCGTTGGGTAAAAAGACAAGATTTTTGCATTTTATCATTCAAGCGCCTTGTCCGGTATATACCGGAATACGGTATTTAGTGTGGTGCTCCAATCCTTTTTTTAGTCACAGCCATAAATAATTAAACACACATGTATAAAACGCCTCTTGTAAAACCAGTCATAAGATTATATGGTCGGAACCATCAATGTCGATGAAAGACACTAAAATGTAAAAATGTACCCGATACAGCCTATCATATTTCGGGTACAGCCCATGATATTTCTAATCAAACAATTCTACAGATGATTTCTCATTTCGTCTGAAAAAAGGTTCAAGTCCTTCATTCTATTCGCTAACTCACAATATCACAACTCAGGCTGGTACCGAGATGCTACATGTAATTTTTGAAAATTAAAGTTTTCTTGTTTTGCTGGTTTTATAAAGAAATATTTTTATTTGATGTTTACAATTTTACTTACTGACGATAAAACTGTCTTTTCATGTTGGCCAAGAAGATATCGAGTGTCTCGCCGCTCCAACATTTTAACAAAGTTCTTGATGAGTCGGTTACCGTAGCGACGGTATCTTAGTAACCGGTATTCTTCATCTGTTATTCTACTAGCTTGTGTTCTAATGTCGTAAAGTTCGTCTGCTGGTGTAATTGAAATCTGAAATAATACATATTTATTTTTTTGAAGATCCATACAACATCCATGTTGAATTTCATGATAGGTAACAAAAAGTCAAACATACGTATTGCCGTGAGAATATTAATCTTAAATTATGAAAACAATCTGTTAGAAACAAATGCAATTTATCCCTCATAGGAAAGAAGTAGTCCATTTTAGAAAAGCCCATTTTCAGAAAAATGCCATACTGATTGGTGTGAAGACCAAACGTTTTGTATAGGATATAGGTAGATTGTACTATCAATTTATAAACTGACGTCCGTCACAAATAGTAATCGATTATATTGTACGTTATTTTACCCGCTGTATCAACTCTTCTAGTTCTTTCTCGTCTGACACATACGTGCCTTCCATCCTCAACCTCAGCAACAGCTCGTTCATAGGGTCCTTCAGTCTGCGCAGACTCATCGGGTCCCTTTTTGTCTTTACTGCAGCCAAACAACCTATTCGTCTGAATTCCTTGCGGGGTTCTTAAATATGAACATTCGTGTTTTGTCCATAGAAAGAAATAAGGCACAGAAAAGGTCGAAACTTGTATGAATAAAAAAACATGAATCGTGTATCCGAATGAAAATAGAGCATTTATTAAATGCAGTTGAATACATGTTATTGTATATATGAAATATGGATGTACAAAGAGTTTCCAAAAATATTTTTGGATGGATATTGATAATACACAGATTCCATAGACTAAATAGTAGCACAATGTAATGGAAATTGTTGGAAGTAACCGATAGATAATTTTATCATTCATTGTTTTCAAACGAATTGAAGTGAAGAAGATTCAAAGTTTATGATAATTTCATTGTTCTTTTATTTTAAGTTGTAAAAAAGGGGTAAAAACAGAACAAAACGTTTTAAGATACAAACCCCCAGTAACTATTGTTCTTTCACGAACGCTCTTTCTCACGCTCGCTTTTTCTTTCATGTCCTCCATCCATTTGATGACGTCAACATCAAGGTCCTTCACTAGTGGCGCTTTGCCAAGTTTAAACCACTCTAGGAGCCTAAGCATTTCTTTCTCTTTTTCTTTCAGTTTTTCATTACTTCTTGTAACAGTTCCTTGAAATTATATCATCATTGCTTTAGGAGATATCACTTACAATATGGCATATTAGTCATTTTAGTCAAGTACATTTGTACAAGTAACACAGTATGTGTGACGAAAATGGTTTTAAGGTGAATATGGGTAGATCTAATACTATTGCGACGAAGTCACAGTCACACTGCAACTATACTTTATTACTTTACATTGAGCTATAATTTGTTGTGGGTTTGTTTTTTTTTCAGGTCAAACAAATGTAAGTATAATTCTTGTAAATTTTAGGTTATAGCCTTTGGATTAAAACTGAAGGAATCATTAGAATCATTAAAAATTTGACCTTTACCTCGCTGATTTTTTTAATACATACTTGACCAGTTTTCCGTATTTGGAACTAGACAATTTAAACAGCTGGTCAGAATGGCCATATATATATGTATCGGCTAGCCTGGCTCGAATCATAATGGCGATTGCTGGTAAATTTCGATTCCATCATTCAATAGATAAACAGTCAAGGTCAAGTATAAACATAAAAACAAAATAGATAAATTTCAGGCATTTTTACCTTTAAATGATTGTTCACGTACTAGATTTTGAACTTTGATATATAAACTTTGTACCAAAGGCACTTGATCACCAATACTGTTGTCCAACCGGAATCTGAGTTTCATCATTACATATGCCCTTATCAAATCAATCACTTCCGGATGTTTCTTCTTTATCAACCTCCTTCAATAAAGAGTTTGAATTTTTAATTAAATAAACTTTCATAGAAAAGCGGAGAAAAATACTGACTGAGAGAATATACATACAAGATGAATATAAAATAGCACATGACAATAAGATAAATACACATTAGATGTCCAAATCATGTTAATTTATCTTTGCACGATTTGCTGTTATTCTTTTTTAACATAAGATGTTGCAATACTAAACATGCTTTAAAGGAAATTTAATCGCGTTTTCTCTTTATTTCTAATAACTTTGATCAGTTTATGTACATTAATATCTGGAGCAGATCGTTGCACAGGACAACTTTGGACTTATATTTTGGCACACATGCAGTTCAATCTTAATTTAAAGCAAATAAAGTATTACTAAGCAGATAAGTATTTTTTGTGATGTGTACATCAATTTTTCACCTGAAAGGTTTTAGATGAAGAGTATATATTTCACAGTCATGTAAACATCGCAGACTACTTGTGTATGTTGGTAGGTCTAGGATAACTTCCGTGATACCAATTATTTCCCGATTCTGTACGGCACATACACTGATCTCCGCCCTTTTGTTGTTGTTCTCTTTGTGACTAGCGCGTCTTGAGACCTCCCCCGCAAATTCATACTTCCGGCGATATACACGTCTTCGAGATTCACTATTATGAACGTTATTGAAATACATATGAAAAAAATCACTACATTAATTGACATGACCTAACTTAATTTAACAAAAAAACAAACATGTGAGTTATCCTCACAAAAAGTAAATCTTAGTATTAAGTATGTAAACAAAGTGATAATACTAACCTGAAAATTGTTATCTAGATGAACATATCTAAATTATATTCTAGTTATTCTGCTGACAGTACCCACTCCTTTCGTTCACTCCATCTTATTAATCATTAAGTGGATCAAAGAGATGTATGAAAACACAGTAAAATGTCTATCATGCAAAGAGATGTTTAATAATTAAGATTAAGTTATAATCAGCTTTTATCTAATGAAACACAATTATAAAAGTTAATGTGTAAAAATGGTTCTGTTTGTCCGTTCAACTACTGTAAAAAGCATATTTTTGTCAAAAAAGCAGTATATCTTATATTGTACCGTAGCCATTCGAATTCGTTGAAGTAAACGTCAGAGCTTGTTTCAAAGGGCCATAACTCTGGGTATTGGTAGCGATGTTTTCCTGGTTCAATAATCACCTCTGCACTTCCACTGCAAAACATATTTGTTCAATTCTTTCTTAAAGTTAAGCAAAAGATTTTTTTTATAATTGTAGCAAAGTGTTTATGTTATTAATTATGCATACAGATATAACATTTAGAAAAACCCTAATAAGCGTGACTAATACCCTGTTTTCAGTCTCAGATTGTAACAATTTTTATATGTTTATTTTCGTAAATATAGATAAAGGTAAAAAAATCTATCGACACCAGCACCATACTGTTCTTGAAACAAGCTTTTAAAGAAATATTCTTCGAAGACAACTGAACACATTACTTGTTTTTATTTTTACAATCTCAAAAACTATTGCTTGTAAACCAGTTTACATGAAATTGCATATGCTTACCTTACAAGAAATATCAGTCTATTGACAGAATCACCTTGTTTTACAATATGTGAACCCGCAGGAAAATATTGACTTTTCATACTTATTTGTAGCATACCACGTGACTGGGCCGGAAGTTGTCGGAAAAATGGATGAAGGTCAACAAAGTTTGACATGTTGATAACCTCCTGCTCATGGTGCTCCTTTAAATAATAAAATACTTTGACTGAATTTGTAAAACAGTTTTACTTTAATTAACAAAATGCATATTTGGAATGCAAACTTTATTTATTCGGTTATTTAAGCTTGTATCCGATATGTATGCATGTGCTTAAATATTCGAATGAAATACAAATGTATTACTATTATTACGGTCGCAAGAATCAATTAAAGAAAATATTTACCCGAATATACTTGTCAAATATCTCCTCGTCTATAACCATGATATCTAATGTGTCGTCTGCAATAATGGACGCGTTAAAATGTCCATTCTCATCCATCACAGACTCCTCGTCAAAATATTTCCCGCTATCTGGAACAAAATCAAAAATCAAATTGAAGTCAAAGATGAAGACCGAAGAGAACAGAACAGAAAAACAACAACCCCTCGTACAAATCAGATAGCATCGTGATTCAATGCTGTTTCTATTACTAGTACCTAACAAATTGTCAAACAGAAATTTACTACATGTACATCTTTCTGTATAATCTAAATATCGAAAGAGAAAGTTTACCGCATTTGACTATGAAATTCCCAAGTTTGGCACGTGGCGTAGATTTCCGGGAACGCTTGGACGCCCTCGATTTTGGACTTTGGCTTCGTTCATTTGGAATATTCTGACTTTGAGCAACAGCATCTATCGGTGTGGACGAGGCGCTTAACGTTTCGACATCATCACTAGGAATAGTGTCTGTTTTATTTGTTTTTTCTTTAGTTTCGCTTTCCTCTGATTCGGATTCTGTGTCACTTACATCCGTTTCCGGTTGTTCTGTAAGCGTTGCGTATGGTTGAGAAACGCGGGAATACGTGGTCCTCTTTGATGAAGCCGACAAAAGTCTTGTGCTGGATGACACAACAGACAAGACCCTTTCTAATGAGCTTGTTGAGCTGCGTCGCTTCTTACCTTGTGGCAGAAATGGATTGACGTAGATTGATACTGAGCCGCGCATAAGAAAATAGTATTTCAGTGAACCATTCCTGAAGAAATAAATTCCATTTCGTTTAGCTTAAACAAAAGGTGCATTGTAACACCGCAAATCGTCCGTACCGCAAAACGTACGTATGTGGACGTTTTGCGGCGCATATCGTCCACATTTTTCTGACGTACATTTTGCGGCAAAGAGGCATGGTCCTGCCGCATAACGTCCATATTTTAAAGTTTATATAATTTTCGTTACTTTTCACCAGTTATTACCAGGTGTTTTTGTGTGTTAATTTCAGCTCACCTAAGTATGCGCCTGTCTGTCTGTCTGTCCGTCCAAATTTAGCTTGTAACCACTCTAGCATCCGCATACCCTAAACAATATGTCAAGAGTTATCTGTCCTTGAATTACAATATCAATATTTCACATTGTTACCACTCCAACGCTTTCATTTCTTCTTTAATCTTGACAATTTTCAACAGAATATCTATGACAAAGTTAGAATATAGGCTAAATCTAACATAAAACAACAACAAAAACGCACTATATATCACCTTGTTAGTGCTTTCGTTTCTTCTCCATTCTTAAAGTATTTTATACAGAATATGTATAACAATAAGATCTCGATCATGTTCATTTATGAGCTACAACGACTGAATATCTCAAGAGTAATTTGCCTTTGAATTATAAAAATAAAGACATATTTTAAAGTCAAATTATTGAATTGTGATAAAACTGCCATTTCTTTCTTATCAATGATCAGATGTCATTCATACATTTATGACAGGGCGGACATCTTGAATAGTTCAACTATAATATTGACCTTGAAATGTCCTTGACCTCAAGGTCACTATTGAATTTTGCTTAAATTACCATATCTTTGTCATTTACAGATATTTGGGTATTGATGACCATTTCAGACGTAGAATTGAGTACTGATATCAGTTACCCAGATTCTGAGTACATGAAATGTACTTGCTTTTTATTTGTAATATTCAATGCTATCTACCCTTGTCATGTGGAGCCTTTATAGGCAGGTGGGTGATATAAGGCCACCATTGACCTTTTTGCTTTGTTCAATTATAAAATTACAATTGTTCAATTATAAAATTACATTATGACATCAAAACAAAAACGCTTACATTACGATATTTTTAAAATATGCTTTATTTTTTTTATTAATAGAACACATTGAACTTCTTTTTCATCATTTCCTATACGGAAGAATGTTGTAATACTCTTTACTCTATTACATATTATCTATGTAACTTATAGGCGAAATGTTTTGTTCTTTAGGCGATAAAATAATACGGTTTTTAGTAAAGGGACGGACTTTCCGACTAACCTATAGATTTAAATCATTTTTCAAAGTTATATTTTATTGACAATTTCAAACTTGCATTACTAGATTTGTTAGTTCAAAATATTTGAGTCACGTCAAGCAGAGAAATAAGGCACTATTCGTCATTTTTTTCACATATTGATGATGTTCAAAAAATTACAATCTTCATCTTTTGAAGAAAATATTTTAAAAGTTACGGATTTTAGCTCAATACAGGATTGGAGCAGTACCTCTAACGCTTGCAGAAATCATGATCCCAAAAATAGACAAATATCGTTTTTTTTCGCCGAATTTTACATTTTCCTTGATTATGCGTACTTGATTCGGTTGTGAAAAGATGTGATTTAGACCTGTTAAAGTTCATTTCCGTTGGGTAAAAAAGACAAGATTTTAGCATTTTATCATTCAAGCGCCTTGTCCGGTATATACCGGAATACGGTATTTAGTGTGGTGCTCCAATCATTTTTTTTAGTCACAGCCAAAAGTTACAGGGTTAGTTACTGACCCGATACGGGGATACACGTACTGTAGGGAAACCATAACGGGACTCAACCCACAGAACCGTATATAACGGCTATCTAACCCTTAAACGATTCTATCACGCCGAAAACCTTCCTCATCGTAATTTAGCATAACCAGGGAGACCATATGTTAATACAGCAAGTTAGAAGAAATATCTTTAAAAAAGATAAACGGCGTTGATGGAAAAGATTTTCATGTATAAGAAAGAAAGAAATATAGAGCGGCAAAGCGGACGCAGTTTAGTAATTATTTTTTACTTGTTATATCTGTTGCTAAACCATCACTGCCTACTTATTATGGCCTAAGGATTAAGCAACCGAGTCGTGGAAACCCCATAACTTCATTCAAGTGTCTGTCCAAAAATGTTGAAGCTGTTGCAACAATTTCGTCTGGTGATAATACGTCGATCAAAGAAGCACTGTCTTACATTAAGTCGTAATCTACATTTATTCAATTTCAATGCAATACCTCTGGTAGAATTATATAATTCAAGATGAATTAAATGTCCTTGAAGTATTCTGAATATATATTTTACTACAGAAATTGTGGACGATATGCGCGCCGCAAATACACACTCTCGCCGCAAAAACGCTACCAAGTACGATATGCACCCGCAAAACGTCCACATGTGTACGATATGCGACGCAAAAACGTCCACACGGCGAACGTTTTGTGGTACGGACGTTTTGCGGTGTTTACAGTGCATAATGTCCTAACGCTGCACATGTACATGTTTTAATAAAACATTACCACCCTTATTAACTATTATCATTTTATATACGGTACTGGTAATGTCACGTGACCATCTCTAGAGACGATGGAAGTCAATCTAGATGGTCTACCTTTCGACTTACTTTATAAGAATTACTGTTCGTGTCAAATAAAATCAATTCTAAGAATAGCATTGTTATATAAATTATAATGTACCACAACATTTAATTTTTACATTTACATTTATTCATTAGCTTTGTTTTATCAAATTATCAAATGAACAAAAACAGTATGCACAGTAATGATTATAGATATATATTATAAAAGAATTGTATGGCTTACTCTGGGCGGCATTGACCTTGCTGACATATGATGTCGTCTTTGAGAAATGTCATATATTTGCTGTGACGTATTATCTCTATCACATTAGCTGAAAAGAGTTTAAAATACTTTAATATCTATTTCAAAGCTGAAACAAATTATAACTTGATTATTTCAAAATTTACTTTTCAATATACGGTTAAGGATAATAATTGGTGTTTTATTTTAGTTAAAAATTCATAGTTAAAAGAACACTATTGAGATCTTAAAGCCTGAAACAAAACAAAAACATCACATAGATAAAAACAGAAAAAATATGCAAACCATAATAAGGAATACGTTGTGCTATCAATTCATGGCCCGATTTTGAACGCTTTTCATTTCGGGTCATTTCGCGAAAATACAAATGATTATTCTGGGTAAACGGGGTGAGCGAATGATCTGATTTTTCTAACAAAATGTTTGCCTAGACCTACATCAACTGAAAAGAAATCTCTACACATTCATGTACAAAACTTAGTGATTCCTTTTAAATTAATAATAAAAATGCTAGTTAAAATTTTAATAATAACATATCAATCTATATAGCTATCTACAATGTAATTATGTATTCAACTACCTTTCAATACATGAAGTAAAATTGGATATAGTTTTTGTTATTTAAAAAATTCGTTTCAACTATACATGTTAAAATATACATATAGTTGTTAATTTAAAGGTTCATTCAAAACTACTTCAAAAAGAAACCATTCATATATATACATTGTAGCTACTGTAACAAGGCCGTCATTTATCTTCAAAATTACTGTATGGTCTGTCTCTAAAATTACAAAAAAAAAGACAAACAAACAAAAAAAAACTGTTAAATTTGTGTAATTGATTTACCCAGCTTTAAATTAGGAACAGTTCGTTTAAAATTTAGACATTTCAACATGAAACAAAAAGAATTGAGCTTCCAACATTTGAAAGCCTAGTCATGATTTACTTTTTGTTCCAGCAGTTTCAGTGTTTATATTGTATAGATTTTTAATCTGTCACTTAAATAAAATGTTAATTGGTAAGATTTAGAAACTTTTTTTCAATTTATTGCTAAGATTTTTTTCATTTACAAACTTCACATATAGATAAACATGTATGTTGTTTGTTACTGTCATAATTATATCACCTTTGTCAGTTTTTTTTATTCCTTTACCAGATTCAACCGAGGTGATAAGCCCTGTCACCAGAACCTGGGCAGGCCAGCATGCACTCCCGTTTTACCTACTTTTTTGGTTGTGTTTGTTTTATATTTGTATCGGTATTGTAAACATTATAAATGTTAATTGCAAATTGAATATCTCGAAAACGAAAATAATGGATACAAAACATACGAGTATCAATATTCTTCAACACCGTGATTCGTCTACGTAGCCAAGTGACGTAACTTCCCATTTCTTAAATATCCGAGCGTATTAATCAACCTACATCAAGTCGCCAGAAATTTGTAATACGAGAACTATTTATCGATTATCAGTAATTACTTTATAAATAATAATATGTCATCACTCTATATTAAACATTGTTTCCTACTGAACAGAACTGATTTTTTGTTTCTGGCAAATTTTTTTTCTAGCTCACGACAGAATGATAATTATAAATGTAATGTATTTTTCAAAACGCACAAAGATACATTTTATTTAGCAAATACTATTTCTAGATAAAACTTAAAACGTTTTAGTGCGGTTTTAATGATGAATCCTCAGAGAAAAAACCAGGTAATTCCATTAATCCCAGAATTTCAAAATACATTGACTTTTTCAAAAATATCTACACACAAAAACAAAACTTATAACTGATCAGACTGTATGTACATGTATAGATTGAAATACCGCTACTTTATTGTATGTTTATTGTCATATATGTACTTTAATTAAGGTATTTTTGTAGATAATTAGGCTAGAAAAATGTATTGGGAATACTTCAGTAATTAAAGGATTTCTTCTTTTGTTAACTTTTAAAGTAAGTAGGTGATAATATTTTGTAAATTATTTTAACCATAAAGCCCCCTTTAACAACTTTCGGTCGATTTTTTCAAAATATCTTGTTATATAGATTTATAACACAATGTTTTAATTTTACCTTTATTGTTGTAGTGCATTTATAATTGATTTTTAAACTATTCATGACAAACCAAAAGGATAATATGAATACATAAATGAATGTTGATACTATTTTACAAAATGTAATGTTATAATTGTAAAGGAGCGTTTGTTAAGTTTTAAAACAACAAAATAACATATTAAGTATTCTTCTAAATAAAAAGTGCGGTCAAGTGTTACAACAGAATGCCACACCAAAAATCGTTTCCGGTTCTCTTGCTTTTCCATAGTGAATGCATAATAGTATTTTTTGTGAGGTTTTAAACTAAATTCCGTGTTTTGGTGCTTAATATGTTGCACGTGAAGAACAGCTGATTTCTACATGATCTGAGTTCTCGTGCATTTTTCTCCAGATATCATGAACTTACTTATTGCTTAAGAAGTGTCTCACATATTGGTCGAAAACTGGTAGCGAGTATATTTAAGTTTAATATAGATCCTTGGACTATACGTTTGATACCAAGAAAACAAGCTATACTAAAAACCAGACATTGTGTTACCTTGGAATTGAGGACTGACTTTTACAGTTTTGAGAACAATGTACTAAATAATTTAGATAAAAACAAAAGACATACATAGAAAACAAAAGTTTATTCAATTATTTCTATATAGAAAGATTGATAAAAATCGATGTTTTACACATTATAAATATATTCACAAAGTGCAAGTACAGACAACACAGAAATCATGCTGTTAATATTTTATTTAGAAATGAATGTTTTGTTACTTTAGTGTGTAATTGTTTAACATCAAAGGTGAAAAAGAGAAAGATTAAAGGAGCTTTATTTTGGGTCCAAAAGTTTAAAACACAAAATTTGAAAATCTTACATAGATATGCTGGGTCACTTCAAATGGAAAAATATATAAAAAGAGTAAAAAGAAATATACTTTAAATGTAATTGAAAATCGACGTGTAATGCGATATCTAGGTCTTTCTAGTAGAATATGTTTAAATGCTTTTTTGTGGGCTATTCCGCACAATGATTAGACAGAACTGAGAGCGAATGATCTGATTTTTTGCACTCAAGTGTTGGTACTTACCTCATCAAATGTTATTAAAATCTCGAAATATATAAATATTTCTTGTCTCTTTCATTATATAAATATTTCTTGTCCCTTTAAGTGTAGACATTTTAAGGGAACGATATTTTAAAAAAAGAGGAGAAGATCATGGGGCGTTTTAGTGGCACATTCCTCATAATCCCGTATGCAGATTATGTCAGCCAATATAAGTACGAGAAAGACAATGAAAGTTCGAATGAAAGTACGAGAAAATTGTTTGCATTATTATAATAAAGTTATTACATGTAATATCAAATGAAGCCTTTTTCACATGTGACTATTTTATAAGATTTTTAAGCAAATCTTTAGTAAAAACAACAGCAACAAACAAACAAACAAACAAACAACAACAACAACAACAACAACAACAACAAAAGCAATATTTGTGGTGCTCGTGTTTAAATTTGTCAAATCATAAACTCATATCGGTCATATTTTTGCAAAATCCCTTCTTGTCACAATAGTTCTACATTTGTACATGTATCTAAATATAAAAAGTATCATAATCAAGCGTTCGAGTTTCCAGAGTTTCCCTGGTTCCTAGTCACTCATCAGACAGCAGCAGCAAACTACCACTAATGTTGCCAGTAAACAGCACTGCACCGCACGGTCTTTGTCGTTGTTGCTCTGTGGCTGTTGAACTCTGAAAAGGGTATTTGACATTAAAGGCGTTTTCCTGAAAGATTCAAGGAGTTTCGTTACAGCCAGAGATAACAACTTGATTTCAATGGCTATGATGCTTCGCAATAGACGTCTGACACAATAAGGCGAAGAAAATATAACAGTGATACTTTGAAATTGATAACAAATTCCATTATTAATTAAAGTTTGCAGAAATTTAAAGAGTTGTGCTACTCCCTCGCAACGAACACTGGCTGATAACCTGGGCGCATTGTGTATTCGTGTTTTACGTACGCGGCCTCTAATGGAGGAATCGAAGAGATAAATGTTTCGTTTAAAGTACACGATAATACACGAGCGTCACACCAATGCCTCCTGCGCCGTTCTTGACCAATTTTATTTTGTAAATGCTTACTAATTAACACTTACCTATACTTGGTACAAATAATCAGCAAGGGCAACATTGTCGCAAAATACGCCCGTCACAAAAACTTTTGTCAGAAATGTGGGTATTATAGATATGCACAGAGGAGAAATGTTCTGGGCAATATCCGGACAATACATGGATAGTTTATTATCTCTAGTGACCTTGCAAATATTAACTTAAATAATCACTGCGGTATACCGTACCCCGGATATTGCTCGATATTATGAGGACTTTCATCCCATTTCGCGACTTTGAACGAGGAAAGAAGGTATGTTTAGTGACGATATTTAGTCATTTTGAATTGGTTTGATATAAATTTTGTAGAAACACAAATACTACGATAATTTCTCTAGTTACTGAAACCCCAAAAATGTTGAGAAATAGCTTTGAAATATAATTAGGAGGTAAAATTCGTCTCTTTGCTCACGTGATAAATGAGCTCGGATCAGTCAAATTTGATGTTTTTGTGCATATACTTCCTTAAAAGAAAAACTTGAATCGAGTGAAATGTGATAATGGTGATAATGTTTATGTTGTAAATGTTCAATCAACAATAGAACCTCAGATGACAGTGCATTTTGAGAATAAATACACATGTCAGTGTACCGAGTATTGCGTTGGAGTTGCCCGCCGGTGTCACGAGTATTGCTTTTAGTGTAACGAGTATTGGTTATCAATGAAGAGTAAATGCAAGTAGTAAACACAAAGTATTTACCACATTTAATTTTAAATATTTCTTACTGTGTATACTTATTTACACTATATGTGCAGAATATGCAGAATTCGGAGGTACTTTACTGGAAACATCTGCGAATAATCCAGATTTACATTCCTGCTCGTGAAAAATCTCAGCCGAACGAACTCAGCAATTTTCTGTGTTTAAAATGTTCTCGTTGCTATCGAAGGATCAACCTTTCCAGAATTTGTTAATAATTATTGCATATCTTACTTTAAATAGTAAAAAAATGCATCCAAAGTGCATTAATACTGCCTCAATATTGTCAATATTAGACGGTATTGAGCAAGTGTGCCAATATCTAATATCAACCGACTTCCTTCTATGCCAAAAATCCATATAAAGGTAACTTTCGGGCATTTTGTACCTGCACTCTAGCAACGGCAGATCGTCTGCACGTGAAATTTTGTTACGCCATTAGCAATGAGTTACCGTATGACTGCCGAGCGGGTACAGCTCAAAAATAATAGATTTTGATAAGATTATGATAAAGGGCAGCAGATGCAATAAAAAGGTTATGTTCCTTATAACCTTTTACCTCATAAAGGCGTGTTTTGAAGGCTTTACACCCCACCCCTTTTAAACATGCGCTATTTAGGCCCCAAACACGGTTTTTTCGTTTGAGAAATGTTGTTCAAAAGAGTGATCACTTTTTCGGCGCCACCCCAATTAAAAAGGTACATCAAGGGGGTTACGCAGGGGGGGGATGTGCCCCCTTCTGTTTGGGGGTTTGAAGTGGGGCAGTAGCCCCTCTAATCGCCGAGAAGACTTGGGACTTGTGGGGGGCTAAATGGCCTCAGGTCGATTTAAAGGTACCGTGTAATAAACGCCGAAAACCTAAGACTTTTGGTGCACCTTGAAATCAGTTTTGATGGGAAAAAACAACGCAAAATAGAGGTTTTTGGCAATTTTGAGACGCCCCCCACCCCGTTGCCATGATAATTGGAAATTTAAAATTGAGCATGCTATTCCACAGGCTATGGTCCAGCTAACATTTGTGCCCTGTTTGATCAGTATTGAAGCATTTTTTATAGTTTCATAGCAGTTTGAACTTGTAACAAGAGGCTTAATTATAATTCAATGAAAACAGCCATTTTTCGCATTATGCTCATGCAGTAAAAGGTTAAGACGATGCCGGCATGCTTGGACGGCATAAGCCCTCAGGCCAATATTTTATTAAGTGCGTCGATATGTTTCTTAAGGCAAACTTGCCCTGTAAAAACCTATTATCAATGTCATCTAAATATTTTTTTTTATTCTTGTCCATTTCAGAGATGGGTCTCCTTGATCAAAGTGTCTTGAGACATGTATTTAAAGTTTTTTATCGTCAATTTTGATGGTTCTACCCTGCTTCCGACCCTGCACACACTTAATTTCATCCATAGTGTGATTTTCAACCAAATTGGAAATTAAATCTCTGTATTTGCCCGTAGGAAAAGAACAGTAATAACACTGAAAATGCACTGTTGAATCTGAAATATTTGAATAAATATCATATAAACAGTACATTATCAGAAAAATGAAATTGAATCGATAAACAGACGCGAATATTAGACAAAAATATCGAGTTTCCATACTAATGTGCTCATTCTGTTTTGCAATACTCTGTACACTAAAGTTGGGCTATTTTGCAATACTCTGTACACTTAAAATCAATACTCGGTACACTGTCTTGTATCTTTTTTAGCCTGTATCTTTTTGTACTTTCACACTTTTTGCCTGAAATTTGGACAAGGCATACTTGGATTGTGAATAAAAAAATTGCTCGATTCAATTTTTTTTATATTGGTAATATAATAATTTCTAACGATTCTACAGTATCGCGGTCAGTATTTTCTAGTGAGCAGCGGATCGTTTAGGGGTAGTTTAATCAATTTTACAAATACCTGTAATACTTTTACGTCTTTTAGAGCTACAAAAATACCTCTAGATATATAAAACCCGTTTAGATAAATGAAATAGCCATTAGTTTGGAAAATATCGTCGCTGAACTTACCTTCGTTCCCCGTTCAAAGTCGCGAAATGGGATGAAAGTCCTCATAATATCGAGCAATATCCGGGGTACGGTATACCGCAGTGATAACATGCGTCACACTTGTAGTCATGATGGTCATCATTTGTATTACAATCCGTCAATAAATTATGACTAAATGGTTCCCGTATACAACTTTTGACCTCTATACGACCTTGACATTGGTAACAGGGACCTGGATTATGTGCGCATTACTTAACTTCATAATGGTAGTCATGATAATGACCATTTGTGTTTCAATCCCCTAATAAATTATGTCTAAATTGTCCGAATACACATTTTCATATTTTATTTGAACTTTGACCCCTATGTATGAGACTGACCTTGGCCACGGGCATTGAATTCTGCACGCGACATTCAGCCTTACAATGGTGAACATTTGTGCCAGGTTATATTGAAATCCCTCTATGCATGTAGATGTTTTGCTGCGGACAAGCGTTTTTCAATGACCTCTAAGTGTGACCTTAACCTTTGACCTAGAGGCTTGGTTTATGCGCATAACACTGCTTCTCATAGTGGTGAATGTTTCTATCAAGTTTCATTAGAATCCCTACACATGTGTAGGGGATTTACCCGGGACAAAATCTATATATTTTATTATCTTTTGTGACCTTGACCTTGCATATATTAACCTAAATTACATGTTTCATATCCGTAGTCATGATAATGACCATTTGTCAATTCCTTAATAAATGATGACTAAATGGTTCGAATACACATTTTCATATATTATCTGTGCCTAGACCCATATGTGTGACCTTGACCTTGGCCGCAGGGACCTAAATTTTGCACGCGACACTCCACCCTACAATGGTGAACATTTGTGCCAAGTTATATTGAATTCCTTTATACATGTAGAAGTTTTGCTCCGGACAAGCGTTTTTTCAATGAACTCTAAGTGTGATATTGACCTTTGACCTAGAGACCCGGTTCATGTGCATGACACAGCTTTTCGTAGTGGTGAACATTTCTATTAAGTTTTATTAGAATCCCTCCATATGTGTAAGGGATATGCTCTGGACAAAATCTCTATATTTTATCATCTTTAGTGACATTGATCTTGCATATATTAACCTTTTTTTTAAACGGGCGTATAATAACCATAAGCTTGAAATATATCTAAAAAAAAATAAATAAAATTATAACCAGTGATGATTTTTTTAGTAAAACAGTGACATTATATATAAACTTTATAAAGCTATATCGTATGGAATAATTTTATAAAATTTATAACCATTTTTTTTTATCTTTTCCATAGCCTTATGGTCGATTCTCGAAAGATTTGTATCATATAACGTAACGTCTCTGTTATTTAATACACATGAATAAACTTAAACAGAATAAAATGTTCCGCAACAAAATAAACAAATTATATTTCTGCTATTTAAAGTACGGTTTACACCATCTATTGATAATTTTGTACATGCGTGCGTCATTCGCTCTTTAGGACATATACAAAACATCATTCCATCATACAAAATGATTGATTTATTCTTTTCGAATTTCAAATAATATGTCTGTGAACTACTGGCTTTATACACTTTAGATATACCTTCAGTGGTAACTACGTAATAAATAACGCTTACCCTATATTGAGTAAGGTGAATTGTCAAGCTAAAGTCAGTCATGATTCATATATTTTGTTTTGTTTTTATGTTGTTTTTTTGCAATTTCTATATTCACTAAAATTCGATTAAGTAACGGCGTGTGTTACACGACACCGCTTGCTAATTAAGTGTAAACTTTTGTATAGCACATTTTCGTGCACGAGAAAATAAGAGAAAATAATACGCTAGTTTTATAAAGTGTTTTCAATGTTATATATTCGTTACATTATCAGACTTTTATCATCTATTCTCTTAAAAAAAGAAACAGCAGAAAATAAAATATATATAGAAGTCATTTTATGTGTTTGCTATAAAGATTTCTAACTTCCTGTACGTTTTTAGTATTCCGTTAAAAAGACAGCTAAGCAATAAAATAAGGCGACACTCACGTCTGAGGCTGAGTGACAATAATTGTTTGCCCTTGAGGATACGATTGTTGGCCGTATCCTGGTTGACCGTAACCTTGTTGCGGATATCCTCCAATCTGATGTCCATATCCTTGTTGGGGATATGCGGGCTGTGCATATACCGGGGGTTGGGGATATCCTTGCTGTGGGTAAGCCATTGGCTATGCTAAAACAAAACAACAAAAAATCAGGTCAAAAGTCACTCCTAAGATGTCTGAGAGTAAGATTATATCATTATTAAAAGTCAAATCATCTTGTTAATATTCAGGTATGGGCAAAAAAGAGCCATCAAAAGGTCGATTTGTTTAATTAAATTAAATTAAATCAGAATTAAATTATTATGAAACTGATACTTTTTTCTTTGTATGTTTGTTTTATTAAAATTTGCATTATCTTAAATTCTCGTAATATTATAGGAAAAACGTTCTGTTTTATATGTTAAAACTCATAATAATCGGCTAATCATAATTTTAATAACATTTTACAAAATGTTACAAAATGTTAAGAAAAACGAAAATAGAAATTACTTCACTTACTTCTTTGTATTTATAATGATTAATTCCTTTAAATGTACACGGTTAAACTGTCAAAAATCATTAAGGTTTATTCGAGAGGTACATGACATGTATATACGTACTGTAATTTTAACACGGGGGGGGGGGGGCTGTTTACATTTCATAATGATTAACAATCTTACTAAATAATAAAAAAAAACGCTAAAACATGTACTGTAGTGATTTAGCACAAGAAACACTCTGGCTGTAACAAAAGTTATCATAAGAACTCTAGGACATCTTTCAAGTTATCACATGAACTCCAGAACATTTGAAAAGTCGGGTATAAATTTGTGATCCGGGGCTTAATGTTTGCAATTTTGCATTATAATTAGGTAATTATATATGACAAGGATGAAGACTCGAATACGGCGAATTGGCAAATAATTTGAAAAATTTTACTCAAAACTACCAGATTTTAAGCAAGAAGCGATGAAAAATGGCCCATGAGTTAGTTCTTGACACATAATACAAGATGTAAGGCAAGCTTAAACATTAAAGTTTAATTTAGCGCCTAAAACTCACTTTTTAATTTTTGAAAATTATTGTTTTTGACGAGTGTTTTTGTAGTATATACAAAAGTTTTCCGACGAACTCCGTGACAGTTATCACAAGAACTCCTGACAAGTTATCATAAGAACTCCATTCTTCGTGTAACAGTCCCTCCCCGTGTGTAATAACGTATCAATTATCTCAAGATTACCGTTTTTACTTCAAGATCTAAAATGTCTAAGGATATCGAAAGGATACCATAATAAATCAGAGAGATGCTTTTAAAAAGGTATTTTCATTTAATTAGATTTAGTAACTTAGTGTCCGAAATTGCAACAGGGCCGAATGTATGAATTCTTTATTTATAATGTTGTTACAATTAATATATTCAAATAGAATGTGCATTTCGAATACACGTTTGAAATATAAAAATATTTATTTTCCGATAATATCGTGATTCTCGTGCAATTTATAATTTCTCTCATGTAAGAGAAATTATATAGAGATGTTTATATTAATGTATGAGAGTCGATTCTTAAGGGGAGATAAACTCTATATTTCACAAAATATCATTCTTAAAATCTTTTTTTTCACTGTTGATAAATTGTATCATATGTACTATAAAAACGAACAGCTTAAATATTGTTAAAATAGTGTAAAACAAGCTAACAATGAAAAGTTGAATCTAACAAAACTTGTTTTACAAACTTGAGATCAGTGTTCAAGTAAAGCAGTCTCAAAATAGTTCTCTGTTTCTTTTTCTTCTTCTTCATCCTCCTGATATTGACACCCTATCCGGAACTCAAGTTCATTCATATTGATCACAAGTGTTTCAGCAGACAGTGAAATTATCAAAATATAATTGTCACAGTAGCCGGTTTATACTATAATTGTGTATCAATCTATATAGACAGTGCAAATACAATAGTTTCAATTGAACCTATATTAATTATATCAATTGCACACAACTAAAATCAATATATTTTTATCTGCTTAAATATGGAATAAACTCAATATTAATTGGGTGATTTCATTTAATGAAAATAGTGAATTTTCATTGAATGAAACTGTATACATGTATGTGTAAATGTCTTCAGAATCAAAAAGGACATGAATATCTGAAATATAGTACAAATCTTTAACTTGTTTTGCTGTACTCTACCTATGAATCTTAAGACGTTATAATGCCTAACCATACAGCTGTTATCATCAAGCCTTACTATTGTAAATAGTTTTTCCAATCCCCCTGTTATTTGTCAGTCGAAAGTTTTAAGTCAGGCTCTTTACAAAAATTGAATACATCCGACAGCATTGGGTCGAACGTATAAACGAAGATGAAGAGCATAACAGTATTTACAGAGTAAGCTGTAACTAATTTTGTGTCGGTGAAAAGTCAGTAGATCGTAAATGTTAGTTGCTATTTCTAATTACAAATTATGTAAATACTCATTAACTTGCATAGCAAATACTTTTGTGCAAAGATAGTTATTGACGTCTTGTTGTCCAAATATCTATGTGTACGTTTGTTTTTTTTTTGGTACGATAAGTTAACTGTATGCAACAGAGATTCGATAATGTTGACAGTGTCAATAACTACCTAAAACTTAAAAAAAAAATATCCTTTAACTGACTTTGGCTCTGAAACAATTTAAAACTTTTGCTAAATTTCTTGTAAATATTGCTTTGTAGTAAACACCCTAGCAATGTTTACTTACTTATAAGCATCATCATAGTATCAATAGACCTATTAGCAACATATTATTAATCTATAAAATCATTAACTGTATAAAATTATTTCACGTCACTGAAAAGAAGTAAGAAAAATTTATATAAATGCACATATATATTGCCTTTGCCTTAAAAAAGAAAAGGAATCCTTTACTAATCATTACCCATGAGTTTGTATATTCTTTCAAGAGACCTCAAAAGTTGATTACAAATATCCTAGATAACAAAGTATTGAACTGATTAATAACATTTCTCAGTAACTAAAACCCTCAAATTTGTTGGGTAAAATCTTTGATTATTTAATAGTTAATCTAGTAACATAAAAGGGACAACTCTCACAAATACAACTAGTAAGTATTACTATTAAGAATATTGAAACAGGATTTGCAGCACACTTTACAATTTCAGTAATTGAAAAAAAAGGACAGCTTACATCGTTTACAGCTTCTGCTTTGACAAATAAATCTTTCCTAATATTAGAAAGGCCTAATAGTATCAAATAAAACAAAAACAAAAAAACAAAAACGCAAAGGCGTTATAACGCGAAAAAAGGCTGCAATTTTATGTAATTTTGTTTTAATTAATGCTTTCGAGGAATCACTTTGTTTCCAGATGTTTATACTTCACAACAGCAGGTGTCAAGTACTGTGTGGCAACTGTAAAAAGTTGCCCCGTACTTCACTTCAGTGTTGTTATATTTTTCTGGTCCTTCGGAATCATTGATGCCAGCATAATTAAGTGTTGAAAATTGAGTACCGCTCAAGCCGGTGCTAGGGGATTGTGGAGATTTGCACTTATTCATTATCCCTCATGTACAGACTCAACCGAGTCTGCAATGTTCATGTAATTTTGGTGTGATTAATGCGTCCGAGGGATCACTTTGTTTCCAGATTTTCATACTTGGCAATGCGAACAAAGGCGAAGTAACGTAAGAAGTTCATATATTGCTTGGTGAATAACTTGTTGCTTCTTCTATGCATACAACAATACAGATAGCTTGTGATTCTTAAAAATACAAAATTAATCGATATATATATGGCAACTTATCTAAAAAAAAACATTCGTTTTTCCTTATGCAGACTGGTAAAAGGGAGGTAACTACCACAACAAATGCTTAGTACATATGACGGTTATGTCATCCTAGAAATATTTATAATTGCCGTTTAATTGCAAAATAATGATATAATGGAACGTTAACAAAATAATATCTTTATATTCAAAGGGTGAGTTTTTGCCCGGTCCGTTGTTTCTTTTAACACTGTGATGTCTCATATCATTTATTATTACAGAAACATATTCCAGCTTGGTGGCTTATTTGGTACACTTTGCGTGTTGCGTTGTCGATAGCGACATCACAACCAATATCGTTATCGCCTTTTCGTCTTGTCGCTAGCGAAACGCGCCAAACGGCTCGTTGTCGTACGGCGCGTTGTCGGGATGTTGCCCTGTCGCTTGATTGATAAGCCAATCCGTTTTTAAGCCGAGCGACAATGTGACATCGCGACAACATGCCGCAAGACTACGCGCCGTTTGGCATGCATCGTTAGCGACAGGACGACAAGACGAAAATCCGACAATACGCCGTTTAACGCTTTG